GTTTGACATCTTTGATACAAGTAACGAGTTCACTTCCAAGTGAACAACCCGATAGTCTTCTTCTTATCATAGCATACCAACCAGCGAACACCCAGCCAAGTTTAGTTAGCCAGTTTGAGTATTCGTTACAGAAGGTTCTATATAAGACTGGCACGTCTGCCATTAGATAGGAGCTTCGTGCTCAACTTAGTTTAGCAATCTAGTTATTAAGTTATTACTTCTTTGTTAATAAGTGACGAGTTTACCTCCGAGTAAACAACCCGGCGCATCTGTACTTCTTACCCGCATACCAACCGTCGAAACGATTACCTTTGTCAGATAGTTTGTGTTTCGTCACACTACCTCTTTTATAATTACTTTACTCCCTCCTTTATACTCCTAGAACTTATTATAATTCCCGCTATAATTGGCTAACTATAAGGTAACTTATACCTCGGCTAATACCTAAAAGAGCCCTATTATAAAGGAAGTAGAGCGCTCTACGTAACCTACTATATAATATAATTTTATATAAAATATTTACTTAGCTTCTAGCTATATTAATATAACTATAAGTACTTCTACCTAGGTACAACTAAAGAAGCTAATTCATAACTTATATATTATAAAAGGCTAAACTCTTAAATATATATAAGAGGGACTCGAGGCTTATAGATTTAAACTTAGGTAAGTTTTATTCTTTCACTTATACTTACATTTTATATACTAAATAAATTCTATGGTATTAATATATTAAGTTAATAGCTTTGAAGACTTTAAGAGTAATAAAACCTTCTACTTTATTATAGTAAGCCTTTTACTATTAAATAAAACTAGGCTCTTTTAGAAGTAATTATAAAAGAATATAAGTTAGAGTAGATAATATAATATATATCTACCTTTATAATATTATAAACTTGGCTTCTTTATAAGTAAAAGAGAGATTATATACCTAAACTAATAAATAGTACTTAATTTAGTAGAATCTTAATATAATATTATTAAGCGCGTTTATAAGTAATTTGTTATTAAAGAACTAAGTTAAGTATAAAGTATAAATAAATATAATAAACTTACTGTCACGAATCACGTGTTAGCATGTGACGAGTTAGTCCAAACGGCGTTCTGACAGGACAGATACATCCAGAGTAGTTATATCATAGCAGTGGTTACTCAGGGTTGTTGAGTATCCAAGGATTTCATAGCATTCATAGTCA